AAAGCAATACCTAAGTTTAATTTTGGAGATAAACCTTTGTAAAAATAGGCATTAACATGATTTGGATCAAATGAAATGGCTTTTTCATATTATTTCAAATCATTTAAAGCAATCCCTAATATTAAATTATGAAGATAAAACCTTATTTATAATAAGCATTAACATGATTTCAATTAAGCCAAATGGCTTTATCATACTATATTTTTGCTTGTTCATATTATTCTAAATTGCATAAACAATTGCCTAAAATTCATTTTGGAAGATAAACCTTTTTTATAATAAGCATTAACATAATTGAGATCAAGTGAAATAGATTTATCAAAATATATCATTGCGTTTTACCATTAATTTTTTTTATTTATATAGCACACAACCTATAAATAATTACTCTTTTAAAAACTTTTAAATAATTTAAATGACTATTGTTAGTATTCTCTATCAAACCTTATTCAGCAATAATAATTGCTTATTAATATTACTCCAATTCGATTAATGAAATTACTATTAATTATTTTAATTGTACTTTTTATCCATAAAGCATAAACATTATTTTTATCTAAAACTTAAATAGTATCACAAAATTTCATAATGTTTTGATCAATATCTTTTTTAATGGTTTTATTGCTTTTATCCAATTATCTCAAAGAATATACTGTTAATTATTATTTATGATACTTTATAATATTAATGTAGCTATATTATTGCCCTTAATCCTTAATTTACCTTTTAAAGTAATTTGACCTTATTCTTAAAAGTTTGGGTATTCTCTTTATAATTCTTCTAAAGTTTAAAAAGATTTATAGTTGTTATTCTGTTGCATTAATGTAACACCTTATGTTTATTTAATTATACATTAGTAAAATTTTGCCAAAGGATTTTTTGTGTCTTATTTTAAAACTTTCTCAAATTTTACTAAAGCACTATAGTATTCCTTCTAGTTTATTAATTGGATTCCTTATTTAAACCCTAATTTTAAAATATTATGAATACAGAGATCAATAATTTCTTTCTCAAATTAATTCGATTTTATTGTTTTATTCCAATTCTTTACTGTTTCAATACTATCAAGAACTTCCTTGAATTTTTATTATTTCAAGTTTTTGGCTATCTGCTAGAACTTTTGCTGCTCTGTTGTAATAATTTTAACTATTTTTTCATACTAAATCCTAAACTATTCAAACTTTTAATCAGCTTCTTCTAAATTTTTATCTAACTAATATATTATTAATCTAGTAATATATCAATTTTTTCAAATGTCTTGCAGTCCATTCTACAATTTAAATGTTTTTAAGGATTGATTAAGCAATTAACGCAAGATTGTGATTTAGGTTCCTGACAATCAGCAGAAAAGGCAAAAGCCGATAATTGAACTTCCTTCATGTTCTAAATTCTGACAAAGAAACATTTGTATCTTTTTTTAAATTTATTTATGATAAATCTTTTTTATATATACCATAAATATATGTGTATTATATTATAATTAACAAGCTTGTTAATAATTAATCATTGAAATTCTTATTATAATTATAAGATCATTTGAATTTTATGTTATGAGAAATCAGCAATTTCTAGAGAAAAAAATTTTTTAGAACTCTTCTTTATATAAACTATTTTTTAATTATTTAATTATCTCTATTAAACAATGATTTACTACTTCAAAACATACATCCTTCATCTTCTCCCTTAAAAAACTTGAGATTATAAATTTAATATCATATTTCACTCTTGAAATTCTGATTTACATGAGATTGAAAAGATATTTTATACTTGAATAAATATTATTCAATATTATTTTAAGTAATATAAGATATTTATGATTGTGTCTTATTTACAAAAAGAATTATTTTTCCATCATAACTTTCTAAATTGATAAGGCAAGATAAAATTATAATGAAAGACTTGTCATTTTTCAATTTAGATTTATTTGATCATAAAAAGAAAATAGCTTAAATAAATATTTAACTTAGTTCTTTCTCTCCAAATAAAAGTGCTGAAGTATCTCTACTTGAAAGATAATTTGTTTTTAAAAACAAATATACTTATATTTCATTTTCATCTTTCATCAGTTTCTGTTTTGGTTTCAATTTCTCTGATAAAAATTTCTTTATATTTATAGACTAAACAATAAAGACTATTTTAGTTTAAATACATCTTCTTTTAGTTAATTGCATTATTTTTATTTCTTTTCTTTGAATCGATTTTATGACTTTATTCTTTACTAATTCACTTACTACTTTTTATTAATCTAATTATAAATAATTTTGTGAAAATCTGATATTTGATTATAGAAATCTATTTATGTACAATTTATATTAATAAATTATTAATCACTATCACCATGAAGTCTAAAAATTTTCTGATCTCTTATTTATCTCTTATTTCTTTCCATAGTATCTTATAATTTTATTAAAATGAATACTAAATAAATAAATCAATTTTTCAGCTTGGGTGTAAATTTAAAATCTTAATAATCTAAACAAAGTACGAAAGTAAGGTTTTCTATTGGAGGAATGTAAAATAAAGGTTTTGTCACAATATCTACTGAAAAAAATAATAGGAAAAAGAGAGAATAAATTTTATTTGGAAAGAAATAAACTTATCTAGATTGAGAACCAGAGAACTAGTATTAAACCAATAGAAATCGATTATGATATGAACTTTTTGAACGAGCCAACTTAAAGAAAACTATTTTTCTTTTTTATTTTGACTTAGTGATTTAATTCTACCTGTTTTTATTATCCCTAAGAATTATTTCTTTTATCTAAAATACAATTAAGATTGCAATTTATACATCAATCTATTAGGATATTAATCAAAGGCTTCAATAAATTTTCTATTTATTTCTATTTTATATTAGAAAAATTGACAATTTATTCACCTAATACCTTACTAGGTTAGTATTTTCAATGTTTTTTTAAGATTGCTAACATGAAATATAGAGTATAATAATTTGCACTTTACTTGAAATATTAACAGCCATTATATACAAATTTAATTAGGTATAAACTCCAATTGTGATGCTGCTCACCAAAGGAAGATAATGATTATGATCTTACTATTGAATAATGTGAAACTTGCAAACCCAATTCTAATTTTATACTAGAAAATAGAAAGAATAAATGTAAAGAATTAAATTTAAAGTATGCTTAAACTATGATTCTCTTAATGTAATATACTATTTAGAAAAACTAAGAGTAGTGTGCATATTTTAATAAGAGAATCATAATGATTGATCAATTTTATCAACAATAAAAATGTAAAGTTAGTTTTGATTCAACCCAAATTAATTGATAAATTGGATTAAAAAAGCTAATGTTAATATGATAAAAACATTGCCAAATTGCAGAAGATGATATTAATAAACATATTTATAATATTTCTTTCATGGAAGAGCAGAATATAGAATTTAAACAGCTTACTTTTATTGACTAATATAAGATAGAGATTAGTTTTCATCAAATCAGAATCATCAAGATGGAATGATGCAGCAACTAATGAACTTTATTTTACTTAAAATTTATTCCAAATCAAGTCTATCAATTAAATCAAAAGTTAGAACATTTAAATTCCAAAAGCTTTCATTTAAAACATTACTGATAAAAATCAAACATTATAAAAAATTAATCATCCTAATTAGTCTATTTTTCTAATAAACATCTTTCAGCAAGAGTCATAGCGATTATTATAAAAATGAATTCTCCAATTCCATATTTATCACATAATCTATATTAAATTACTTTCTCTTATTGATTTGATATATAATATTAAAATATTCGCAACTATATTCTAAATTTATTAAGCATTGCTTATTATAAAATAAGTATAATTTTCATTATTCAAAAATTAAAAATGTTTTCAATTAATTATGATAATCAATAATCTAAAAGCATAGTTCATTTTCTTGTTAAATTTATATAAAATAATACAAATTAAATGTTTATAGTATAAATTTTCAAGCTGTTTTGAAGATTTTGATTAAAAATTGCTTAAATTAAATTTATATAAAAAAAAATTGGAAAAATTTAGATGTTTTTCTGATGGAGAACTCTTGGAAAATATAAAGATTGCCTTAGGGAATTGTTGCAGCTACTTATTTTAGATAAATATTATTAGCTATTATATATGGGCATGAGAAATATATTGTTCATAGGGATCTAAAGCCAGTAGATGTTAGTTTTGTTAACTAACCAGAATTCATAGTTAAAGCAATAAGTGTTGATAAATCCTGAAAATTTGACGAATATAAATCCATAACTGCTGGATTCATACTTATAACTACGCTTTTAATGTTGTTAAGTATTGAACCATCAATATTATGGAAAATATGATTTATGGTCTTACAGAATCACACTATGTGTTATTAAGTGAAAATCTATCATTTACTTGGAGGATTGTTCATTAAGTATTTGAGAGGATTAAATAAGGTGTCTTTATATTTGAAAGTATTATAAATATTCAATTAATATCATGACAGGTTGTGATTGAAAGGAGATATTTAAAGAAGCAAAATCATTTATATCAAGACTTATAAGGGTTAATCTTTAAAGGAAATTATCAGCAAAAAAACATTAAATGATCATTGCTTAGATAATTTCAAGTAAAACAATATAAACAATAAATGTATTAGATAAGAATTAATATCATATATGAATACTTAGATGTCAACATAGAAAGAAATTCAAGATATTCAAAACGAATTCACTATGTTAAATTTAAATCATAAGGGAATAATTTATAAAGATGAGTTTATGAATTTTTAATTGAAATCAGATACTAAACTATTTGAGGATAATCAAGAGAGGACGAAATTTGGGAATAAATATTTCTAGAGCGCAATAGAAATTAGAAGGGTTAAATTCGTTTAAGAATTTATCAGAATTTTATAATAGAAAACACTTTGATTATTGTTTTTTATTTTAGTAATTGAATTAAATTTGAGTAATTCTTTCATCTATTAATATTTAACATACATCTTGAAGAATAATTATTAAATAAAAAAAAATTATTAGATGATTTTTTTTAGATAATATCTATTGATAAATTTGATGTTATAAGTAGTAATGTACTATATATGAAATTTATAGAGATGAGCAACTTAATTAATAATTTAATTAAAAGGAGACTCGTTGGAGTAATTGTTCACCTTTGTATTGTATATGCTTAAAATCCAATATTAATTAACAATTATATTAACACAGGAGATACTATCATGAAAAGGTAGATTTAGAGTTAATATAAAGTAAATATTATTTAATTTAGATAATACTAATAATATTGTAGCCTATCAAAGGGAGTTGAAATAATAAATATTCAATATATTTATGAGAAGAAATTAAAATAATCTAAACTATTAGGCTGTAATTCGTATTACCATAAAAATATCCAATCAATCTTAGAAATTAGGATATTCTTAAATTTTTGATCCTAATTTCCATATAAAAAGGTTTGATTGGAACTATTTGAATATGATTGTAAAAATATCATATTATTTATTCTTTCTATCGAAAATAACAATAATTATGAGCATCAAAAATCACTTCTTATGATAAATTGAATAATAACAATTTTGTTGTATTTCAAGGATTTCATTTAGGCATGAAAAAGTGCTGTTAAATATAATTCTGTATTTTTTATTGGTGTAACTGAAGCTAAAATTTTAGAAAAAATAATACAAGATTTATAGGATTTAGTTTGACACTTTGGCTAAATATTTGGATTTATTATAATTTGAGAAGTTAATTTAATTTAATTTAATCTTGTTATAAAATTAAATTTAAAAATTAGAATAGTTTCCATCCTAAGAGCTTGCGATATCATTGAAGTATTTGTGTCTATTGTAAATTTACATATATGTATATAATAATGGGGATTAGCGCTTTTATTGCTTTCCAGAGAAATGAAAATAATGTGTTGTGGAATGTTGATGTTTTAATCAAATAATATTTAATCCTTATAGACAATGAATTCAAATAAGGAAAGAGAATCAATTCATGTATTAGATTAAATTACACAATTAATTGTGTTAAGGATTATTGGATTGATTTTTTTTGTGTTATATGAAATTTATACTCCTGACCCAAAGACTAAAAAATAAAATTAAGATTATAAGATTCAATCGAAAGTTTTGTACAAATTTATGAACAATATCTTAAAATGTTTTTGTGCAATAAATAAATTTTTAAGATTACCACTAATTTAGCAAGTGGATGAAGCTTTAGAAAAATTTGATTAACCAGAAGCAGTAATAAGGTAAAATTTTATCATTATTCATTATTTTTAGCCTCCCAAAACCAATACCTGATGACTTGGAATATCCTTTAAAATATTTCGAATAAATTTATCGAGTCCTTTAAAAATAGATGAAAAATTTGCTCATGATAACTTTTTTTTAAAGGCTATTGAAATTTTTCCAATAATTTAATGGATAGTAAATTCTTCTCCTTGTTTGAATTAAGAAGCAGAGGAATAAGGACACAGCCCAATTAATGTAGAAATACTCTAACAGGTTATTATTTATTATATGGAACTCCTAGATCTATTATTCTAGATGATAATCATTTTCAGGAAAATAGGCAGAAATATTCCCAATTCGTATAAGAGTAAATAAGTTAAAATTAAAAATGGAGTTTGCTATAGAATTAATAATGATTCAGAAGATCTATTAACCTTAACACACAAGATTTTCATAATTTAATTTTCAAGTACTGATTCCAAAGTTAAACCTGTATTGTCGAAGGATGGCTCTAAAATTAACCTTCTATTGTATATTCCTGAAAAAAGCCTTAGAAGTAGCATCAGAAAATTGTGGCTTGCAAAAATTTTTCATCTTTGCTTTTCTGATTTACTTTCATCAGAACCTGTAGATAACGAATTTAGACCTCTAAGATTTAAGTGGCAGATTATGAACCATAAATTATTGAATAAATTAAAAAATCAATTTTTTAAAATTAGCAAGAAAATTAGGCTAAAGTGGATTGAATATAGAATTATTAGAAAAAACAGATACATGGAGATGAATTCGGTTCTACAGATGAAAATTGGACAGCCTGTTTTAAATATCAAGAAAATCTAAATAATAATGTTAATATTATAGGAAAAAAAGTTTTAAATTAATTCTGATTTTGTATCAATAATTAATGAATAGAAACAGCTAAAAAAATCATTAAAAATTTACATACTTTATCTAGTAAAAAATTTATTTTTTAACACAATCATTATGAATTATTTGATCATTTAAAAAATCTCTAATAATCTTGGAGCGATAGAAAAGATTTATATAAAAAGCCATTTGATCTTTATTCATTATTGACATATTCATCATAATTTTATGATATCAAATATCGAAAAAATAAAAATGTAAAAAAAAGCTGTATCAGAGCAGCTTTCAAAGTAAGTAAATCAGATCAATAGGAAGTGAATAATTAATTTTTAATGGGAGATTCATTTTTAGATATAATTTATTTTTTTTATTTGGCTTAATCTTTGGTAAGATTTACATTATATTAAATACATCATAGAAACATAAGGATTTAAGATACTGATATTTAATTTAACACTTTAGAGTCCCCATCTATTGCATTTTACACACAGAAAAAAACCCAAGTTATAATTAACTTTTAAGTAAGCCCATTTTTTTTTTCCTTAGAATATGCTTAATTAAGAATCCAGGACCTTAATTTTATGATCAATTTTGTTATATTGAATAATAGATTAATTTTTAATTTAAATTGTATTTTGTTATATTTAATTAGCCTAATCTGTTAGTAATGATTAAATAAAGAGTTTTGTTTATTCTAAAAAAGGTAATAAAAATAGCATAAATCACTTCTAAATAATTTAGATGATTTTTGTTTTTTAATTATAATTGCAAAGAGAAAAGAAAATAGATATTTATCAGATTTTATTTATTATTTATTATTATCCTTAAAAGATTGATTATGGCCTCATTGGTTGGAAATCTATTAAATAAATGAATATAACTTAAATCTATTTTTTCATTTCTAAAAAAATGGTAATTTGTATTTTCAATTCATCAAGTTAAGAATTCTAATATTAAAAATGTAAAAAAAGATTTTTTGTTTTTCTTATTTCATGTATGTAT